CACTTGGAATGATGTCATTACTGCATTGACAACTAGAAGAGAAAACATCTCTTGCACATAATATCAAAGAAATGATTGAAGGAGAACTGTCAGTACCTAACATTAGCAAAGCACCTGTTCTAAAAGATATACAAAAAGAGAAGGTAATGTTTACCACAAAAGAAGATGAAGAAGAAGTTTTGCATCCACTAATAGAGCTCAACAAATCATTTGCTAGTTTAATGAGAAAGGTAAGAACAGAATTTTTTGAGAAAGTAGCCTCAGACCCTAAGCTACTCACTGATTTAACAACATGGATCGAGACTTACATGCATTGGAATGATAAACTAACAAATGCATCATTAGATGAAACTTTCAATATCATTCATCCGTTTTATGATTTCATCGATTGCAGTCTAATAGTGGACATGAGTGAAGAATTTCTTTGTGATGTCAAATTTAATGATGATGAAAAATTGAATATTGTCAATAAACTACAAAATTACAGGAAAGAAGCTGATAAACTTAGATTTTCAGCTCAAGTGAAACATCTTCATAAATCATTACAAACAATTTATGAAGGACATATACCAGATACATCAAATATGCCAATAATATCAATGAAGCTTCATAATCAATGGCATGGTAGCGATATCAATGTACTCTCTCTACTGATCCACAACTTACTTCCAATTGGACAGCAGCAGTCAATAATGAAATATATTACAATAACTCCTGGATCTGTTAATACCACATCAGGTTACAGTCTAATAGAATATACTGGAGAAAAGTTACAGTTTATGCATTTCATTGGTATACTTAACTTATACATTAATGATCATCAATTTCTTCAACAAGAAGATGTGAACATGAGCTTCACTTTTGAACTTCATAAAGCAACCACAGCTGGGAAAAAGTTTTTAATTCATCTAGATCAGCATACTAATGAAGAAGGCAAGACAGCACTAATGTTAGCTTGTGAAAGAGGACATGAGGACATTGTACACAGTTTACTGTCTGCTGGAGCTAATGTTGACATTCAGGACAATAAAGGATGGACTGCACTAATGATAGCAGGTATGCATAACCACTGTTCAATCATTCACATATTACTACAAGCTAATGCTAATCTTCACTTGAAGGCATCAGATGGATCAAATGCTGCAATGATTGCTAGTTACAATGGTAACTATGAAGTTTTTGAGCTATTGATTAGTAAAGGAGTTGATTATAAATATCAACGAGAAGATGGTTGGAATGCATTAATGATGGCTTGTGAGAATGGTCACACTCAAATAGTGGAACTGTTGTTGAAGGAACAAGTTGATCCTAATGTTCAAAACAAACATGGTTGGAATGCTTTTATGTTGGCTTGTCAATATAACCACATTCAAATAGTGGAACTGTTGCTGAAGCAACATGTTGATCCTAGTGTTCCAAACAAACTTGGTTGGAATGCTTTTATGTTTGCTAGTCAAAATGGCCATACTAAAGTAGTTGAACTGTTACTGAAGGAACAAGTTGATCCTAATGTTCAAAAGAAAGATGGTTGGAATTCTTTTATGTTGGCTTGTCAAAATGGTCACATTCAAATAATTGAATTGTTGCTGAAGGAAAAAGTTGATCCTAACATTCATGAGGAAGATGGTTGGAATGCTTTTATGTTGGCTTGTGAGAATGGTCATACTCAAGTAGTAGAACTGTTGCTGAAGGAACGAGTTGATCCTGATGTTCAAGACAAAGATGGTCATACTGCTTTGATGGCTGCCAGTTCTAATGGACATTATGAAGTAGTTAAGTTATTATTAGAATGGGAAGCTGATCCAACTATTAAAACTAACAAAGGTCACAATGCAATATCACTTTCAAAAGACTCTGAAATATCTTTATTGATTTACAACTGCATGTACAAAAAGGATGTTGAAACAGTAACCAGTGGTTACGATACAGCAGATATCAGTAGTATGAGTAGTTGTCCTTCAACATTAACTTTATCAATTCAGCCGCAATAGGTGACTCTACCATGGCAGGCTTCACTGTAAGAAAAAAGTGATGTTGCACTCAATTTTTATTGTTAGATCTAGATGCTTCATGCATGTATGATTTTTGCTGCTTAACTAGATATTGTGTAATGTACTTAGTTTTGTCTGAACAATGTATAATACAGCTTATATAATACAACTTGCTGCTTAATAGTACATAATCAAAAGTATTTACTCTTCAATTAAATACTTTATTTCAATATTTATTGCTAAATCATTGTTGTTAAGATTATTGACCTCGCCAGAGA